CGCGAGGTAAACAAACATCAACAGACTTTCTTATCATTTCATGTGGATTTGACGGTGCTTCCTGTTTTCCATTTGCCAGCCATAGATCTTCTGTGACATGCCATGTCACAGTTGTCGTCGTCGATTTACCGGATGAGATAAATTGAATGAACCTAACCTTCAATTATGATTCTTTTGGTCCCGCGTCTGCAGGCTGTAATTAGGCAATTGAGTTGCAGCTGAGTTAGTAGGAAATTTGCGGGAGGTTAACATTCGCAAAATTGACAAGTCATCGACCTGATAAATACAATCTTTTGGAATCAGACCGAATATGGGTTGCAGAGTGTCTTTATTTCTATACGAATTTATTCTAGCGATTTCCCGGCAATTGCGAATTTTAACCTAAACTACTCATCACTATGAATCTCCTCAAACTCCCGTACACATCTTGAAGTAATCTATCAGTTGGTTACACTCTGGCCTAGGGTTACCATATCAAAAACTTGAAAAGGAGGACATTTCATTTAAGGTTTGGAGATTAAGGAGGACAATGATTCCTTTTCTTAACATTAAAGGAGGACAATGAGCTTTTATCAAACGTTTTAATATATGTGCGCTTTCACAAAATTCATGATTTGCAAAGATTCAATTGAGATTGTTCATAACTTGTAGTCGTTACCAATTCAATTCTTTTTGAAATTCTGAAAAATGCATCAAACTAGCCTTCATAATTTAGTTTTGATCGCTGATTTGCATGAAAACTACAGCTTTACAGCCTAAAAACCACCCCAATTTTTATCATGTTCAAAAATCAGGATACATGTCATCGCTGATTGAAACCAACATGGAACATCTAAGCAACCTGTTAATTTTACCATTGATTCAGCATAGGACTCTAAGGCCGCTGCCATAGTGGGAGCGAAGAGGCGCGCTTAGCGTTCTATACAAAAGAATTTCTATTATTGATATTATTCCTTACATTCCATTTCACGATTCGCGTGCCTCTTCGCTCTCAGTATGGTAGCGGCCTAAACAAATCAAGTGTAACTATTCAAGTCAACGTATCTGCTTTTGTAAACAATCTCTTCAATCGACGATTTGTCTTAACTGCTAACTCACCCACACAAACAAACACCATCGTCAGGTAGAAGACACTTTCGCCTACTAGCTGGTGTTGTTAGTTTCTGTGAGTGAGCTTGCAGTTGCCACAAATCGGCGATTGAAGTGATTATTTACAAAATCAGATAAGTCGATTTGAATAGTTATGCTAGAGAGGGTCTAGTATAAGAGAGAAGTGGATTCAAAACAAACTGCCTTGGCAACCTATGCCTAGTTGATTTCTAGCAACACTGCCAATGCAAGCAAGATAGGCGCTGCTCGATTGGCTCTGGCTTTGACAGTTCGTTTGGCTCAAAACCAGCCCGTCCGCTCCTCTCTTATACTAGACCCTCTCTAGTTATGCTTGAAATACCTAAAATCCCATTGAACCAGAACGTCAAAATCGAACACATGTTGGATTAAATCTGTGTGGCTGTGGTGAATTTTAACTTAAATTTTACAGATAGAAAATTTTCAAATAAACCTGCTATTGTACCAGACTTATTTCTGGCAGACCAGGAATCAATTTTGACAAACACATCGAAAATCACACGATCAACAACAGAGAGATTTTCGAACATTATAATTTATTCTCGAAATGTCAAATTTATGTAAAAATTCAGAAAAATGGAACACATCCAAAGACTGTTTTCCATTTGATGAATTTTCACTGACACTTGGAAAATCGTCCGATTTTTGAGGAATTGTTTGTCAAAATTGATTCCTGGTTTGTCTGAAATAAGCCTGGTAGAATAGCAGGATAATTTGAAAAATTTTCACCTGTCAAATAAAAGTTAAAATTCACCAACGCTTTTTGAAAACAATTGTATGAATATGTTACTGGAAAAAAAAATCAAGGATTAAAAAGGAGGACATTTCTGGGAAAAAGGAGGATGTTGAAAAATTATTGAAAAAGGAGGACATGTCCTCCTTTAGGATACTATATGGTAACCCTACTCTGGCCCCTCAATAGCGCTCCGTGGGGCACATTGCGAACAAATTCTGATCGCTCCGGAAATGGGATGACAGATCTTTTCCCCCTCGAAGCTGGGTCCCAGTTTGGCTTCGATGATTTCAATGTTGGTCTCGGCCATTTGGAAACACTCGTTCAGAAGATCACGACCAATCGGTTGCCACTGGGGCATATCCTTGACGGCGTCCGTGAACATCGTTGTCATCTCGTCACGCTTGACCATGCCATCCGAGTAAAGTCCGCACGGCGAATGAGAACGACCCAATTTTGAGTTTAGTTCACTCATAATCGCCAAAAGTGCAGGAGCTCAGCGATGAGTAAAATTTGTCTCATGGTTTCCTGTGGAAAACCTAAAAAATCTGCCGGAAAATGAGGAAATTGACGAAAATTTTATTCAGTCTCGGAGTAGTACCAATAGACTGAGTGAATCCAATCTTTACTTTTCTCAAATTCGGGAATTTTTCCCTGGAAAATCCTGGAAAAACCTGGGAAAACATGAGGCAAATTTACTCATCAATGAGTTCCTGCACTTTTGACGATTATGAGTGAACTAAATTCAAATTTGGGTCATTCTCATTCGCCGTGCGAATGAGCTTTTAGTTGACATTTGATGATACACTGGGAAAAATGGAGTTGTTAAATTGTTTGTTGAACATGGTGGAGTTTCAGTGGAGACTAATACATCCTCGAGGCGTTTCTTCCAGCTTCATATGTTTCATGGTTTTTTCACCGTATTTTGCAAGACAATCAGTCCTGATGGTTTTATCAATCAAGTTTGGCATATTGTAGCATTCCCAAGATCCTTACTAGAAAACAATGTTTCGTAAGGAATTGAATTCACAATTGACGCATTTCGTGCCAAATCGTATTCGGAGCTGATAGCACAGATTTCAATGAAATTTTCTGGATGTGTGGACTTTGACTAAATAAACCACTTTGCATATGCTTAGTTTTTCCTAAATTTATCTAGACTAACCTTTGAGAAGGGCCAAACTTTTTTTGCCGATTTTTTTCAAAAAAATATTATGGAAAAATAACAACTCCTACAAAAACCAAACTTTTAGGAAATTGTCCAAATTATTGAAAAAAAAAAAATACTGAAAAAATTCCATTAGAGACCTACATTGAAAAAATCTATTTTTAAAATTTAGTCGATTTTTAAAAAAATGGCCATGTTTGATTTGGGTGAAACTTTGTCTCAAGATAGGTAGTTATGTTAACTACCAACCGTCCATACATCGCGAGATTGGCACATTTAAGGAAAAAAAAATTTTCTAACGAAATGTTTTCATGTCTGAACTGTTTTTTTATTTTAAATTTGCCATTTTTCCATAATATTTTTTTGAAAAAAATCCTTTCTCAAATGTAAGTCTAGATAAATTTTGGACAAACTGAGTATGCAAAAGTGCTTATTTAGACAAAGTCAAATCTGAGAGGGTGTTGCCAGCTTCGATTCGATTTGGCGCGAAATGCGTCAATTGCAGATTTAATTGTTAGATATCTTCTTCACTGTGGGTCCATCTTTGCAGGTTTTTTTCGTCTCCAAGGGCAAAAGCTACAGCCGCGATAACAAATTTCATCTTTTACCTATCCAGAATCTTCAACTGAACACTTGAATAGCAAACAACTGCGGTTGCTCCATTTTATCTCATGGGAACTGACGATCGACCTCCAGAATCTACAATTGCCAGCTCATTATTTGCAATTCCTGATAATACCTGGAAAAAAGTTGATTGTGCAGTTGATCAAGTAAAATCATGCAATCTGACAGGGCAGAACTCAACACATCTAAGCTTTTCACAAATAAATTTAAATATTCAGCTCTAATGAGGTTTTAAAAATGTCTAAGTTAGAAACTGGTTTTGGGAAAGCATAGACCAAATCGAAACAATGGAATTGACTTACCAAGTTCTAAATTGGATTGGCGGGGCTACATTTCCACTATTCATGCAATGGGAATTGCGTGGCAGCTGAATGTCATCACAGTTGACTGCGGTTCGGAAGTATTCCAGAACATGTCGATGATTATGGTTATTTTTACGATCGTATTCTATGGAAGCATACGTAAATTGCCTATCATTTCGCCCCGGTAGGTCGTTAGTACGCAACGATGAAGGTTGACTCGCGTGATTTATGTCATTGTAAACAACGTGATGCCGAGGCTCATATAGGATAATTGATGTGGAAAATTTTATTTGACTGTGTGAATCATATGGTTGTCTTTTAAACTGCAATTTACTTTGATACATTTTCTAAAAATTCATACCCAGATGTATCGTTTTAGATTGTATGATGATGACTGCTATTTGCAATCTGAAATGATGAGTCAATAAAAAACTAGGTTTGCGGTTTTGGAAAACTTAATACTGTGATGGAGGTGAAACAGCCCAAGGTTGAAAGCCTCCTTAATAAAGAAAACCTAACATAACCTAAGTTAATACCATAGAGGTAACTCTAAGACTAGTAGGTCCCGAAGAAACGTGCTCAACTTTTTAGCTCAGCTCTGCCACTATCTTCGGTCCCAAACTAATCGATGCACCCCTCGAAACATAGGAAAATCCACGAACCCCTAATTTTATCTGTCAAACTTTCATAGCGAATCAAAACAAACATTGTGTAGTACTAGATTTTTGACTAGAATGGGGTACGTTAATCGATTTGCTTGGGACCACCGGTTGTTAATACTGTGTACAGAATACATGTAACCAAAATTAATGTTTGGAACGGATTTTAAATTCGGACTGTACTGCCCCGTTGAGAGTTACCCATGATCATTTGAGAAACACTCCAAAATCGACTCTGCAGTAGGTATCATTATCTGCGTGATCATAAAGCAAGACACGTAAAGCACGGGAATTGTGTATGATGAAAATTTGTTCTATCAATTCTCATTTATGATAACCGCAAGTTTGCAGCAACAAAAAATATTTTATTATCTAGAAATATATGGGGTTCGCAGCTTAGCTAAATAATTTCCTAGCAGCACCATAATCGTTGATCACTACTAACATTCTACCTCTGCGATTCACATGATCGGGCACATCTTGGAGTACTCCTTCAACTGGTTGCATTCATCGCTCTCATTGTAAACTCCAGCCGGGCATTTGGCGAACAAATTCATTCCCATGCAGCGGAGGATCGTTCCGGAAATGGGATGACAGATCTTCTCCCCCTCGAAACTCGGTTCAAGCTTGGCTCCCGCTTCAATCTCGTCCATCTTCGACTCGGCCATCTTGAAGCACTCGTCCAGGGTGTCCCGCGTCAGAGTCTGCCACATGGGCATATCCTTGACCGAGTCCATAAACATCTTGGTCATGTCGTCCCGTTTGATCATGCCGTTTGAGTAAAGCCCGGTGGCGTTGAGGCCACACTCGGCGATGCACTTTTTTAGTAATGAAAGATGAGAAAGTAAAAATAAAGCGTATCGATGGGCAGGTATGGAAAAGTAACATTAAAACGATGAAATGCTTCTTAAGGCCTGTTTACATATGTGCTGTGGTTCATAATGCGGATTAACCCAAATTGGTGTAATCCTATCAAGTTTGTGTCAGATAGCAGATTGTGTGATTGGCACCGAAAAACTGTTTACATCATGTTAATATCCATGAGTTCCCGAATGACAGGCGTGAGCCTTGCACGTGAATAAGCACAAGTGTATACACCTCATAATGGGGTGTTTTCATATATGCTAGCTTATTAACTCGACCAAATCAACCAACTAGCACCCCATAATAAGACGTTTAGATCTGTGCTAGTGGGCTAGCGCTAGTGTACTAGAATTGTACTAAGGCTGTGAACCATTTGCCGAGTTAAATTTAACTCGTGGTTAAAAGTGACATTTCGAAAGTTATTTTCTATGTTCGAAAATCCCTGTGCTGTCGATCGACCGGTTTTCGAGAAGAACTCAGCCAAAGTTGTCAAATTTTAACTTCTTGTCTGTCAGAAGTAACCAAGCTCGGATAGTAGGGTCAATCGATAACTTTCCATCTGTCAAATTTTAACCAAAAGTTAAAATAATCCACCAAATAGTTCAGAGCCTAAAAGTAGTCAGCATAATGTAAACAGGGCGTCAGCATCTACTAGCATGAGCTTCCAGGAGCAAGTGAAATTCGTGCTAGTTGGTTGAGCTGATTGAGCTAGTGAACTTGCATATATGTAAACAGGCCATACACTTTGGAAAAATGCTCATTTACTTTACGTAGCTACTCAGATTTACTGTCCTACCCGTGTTGACTAACAAGAGCGTAGCGACGGGCAAGCGTCTAGAATGAGCTTCCAATAGAAGCTTCTTCTGGAAGCTTCTTAAAGAATCTTGTTTTAGAATCCGCTAAAGGGAGCTCATTCTAGACGCTTGCCCGTCGCTCCGCTCTTGACTAAAAAAACACGGGCAGGACAGTAAATCGGAGTAGCTTCTTCTTTCTCATCGCTCCGCTCCATTAACTGAAAAAAAAATCACGAGCAGGACAGTAAATCTGAGTAGCAATAATAGACCATTTTTCCAAGGTTTAAGGAGCATTTAATCGTTTTAATATTGCAAAAACCTGCAATTATCTCGTTTTGATGTGCTGAAGAAGGTTCGCTAACTTACGCAACCACGTGGAATTCCTTCCATTTTCATCTGCTTCTTAGTTTGTTCTCCGTACTTCTGGTAGCAATCCATCATGATGTCCTTGTCGAGCAACATGGGCGTGTTACAACATTCCGTTGGATTCTAAATAGTTGATGGAAAATATAGATTTTTAATTACAGAAAATCGTTTACAAATCCATAGACGGTCTTCAGAGTAGATCTAATAAAACTTCCAGGGCAACTTCATATAAAAGCACATAAAAGGGACTCAATCATCCGTACAATACAAGGTGAAGGTTTTAGCTGAGGGCTACGTGAGGGTTCACTGGAAGATCCGGAACGTTCGGAACAGCTCTACATTTTACAATCTATTACACATTCAGTCATAAAATAAGAATTGATTTAAGAATGTGTTTAGAGTTTGGTTCGAGGAGGGCTACTCTATCTACGATGCAGGAAAAAAAATGTGTTTTGCTGTGGTTAGCTGCATGCACGCTGAGTAGATAGAAAGAAGTTAGATGACAATTCTGAAGATTTCCTGCACAAATATGAAGCGCGATGCAAGTAGATGCGAGAAATTAAAGAAGATTTTTCGAAGATTTATTCACTAGTGTGAGATTTGTTTAGCATCTAGAATTGAGATTTAGATGTGTCGCCCCCCTCGGTTTGGTTCCTGGAGGCCGAGGAATTCAATTAGAAACTAATTTTCTCAACGTTCAATTAAAAAGTGATAGCAAACATTTCCGTAAATCAATCACTATGACGAAAAGCTTGGATGATGAGAACAAATCAGTGTCAATATTTCAAAGGGATGTAATTCCTTTTGTAAACAATGGCTTTAGGCGTTGATTTCTCGCAAATAAAAGATCACCCCTCCAAATTAACTCCTCCTCTGCTTGTTGATGTTATTAATTTTCATGTGTGACCTTTTATTCGCGAGAAATCGACGGCTAAACCCATTGTTTACAAAAGAAATTACGCCCCTTTGAAATGTTGACACTGAATGTTCATTGTAATTCCCTTACAAACATTAAAAACCAGTACAGTAAGAGCTCGAATGTTGGGAGATTAATCAAGACCTGAATTGGAATAAATTGAGCCGAGTGGATTAGAATTAATGGTGAGGTCTTACAAAGATTTTCTTCTTCATATTTTGGCTTTATTACGTCCCTACTACTCATACTTTATGCCCAGGGAAGTCGAGAAATTTTTCAACCCAAGAATCGGCCAGATCGGGAATCGAACCCAATCGCGTTTAGTATGGTCTTACTTTATAACTGCGCCTTTCCGGCTGACCTAAGGGAGGCCCGAACTAATCTCTATAATAAAGGTGTTTAAGACTTTGTTAAAATATAACGTGAAATACTGAGTTGCTCAGGCATGGCAAATAATTTACATTCATTTCGTGCTTTCATTTGCATTCATTTGCTTCTATCTTTTTACATCTACAGAATTCCGTAAAATGAGCTTTGTAACTTTAGTAGAGTTTGATATAAGCTAAAACTTTTGTCAAAAGCTCAAAGCTGTACCTCTTATGCGTGACGGACTAGAGCGGGCACAACTTTACATTCACTGTACGTCTCGTCGTCCATTACGATGCATTTTGGCTGCGCCAACCACTCGTGGTACAGCTTCCTGGCGCGGGATTTGGCCATCGTATTCTGTTTACCGGTCCGGTTAGGCGTCTTCCTGACCTTGAAGACATGGATTCCGGACCGCTTGATTGTCTGCTGGACGAACCAGACGGAAGAATTGACCTTCTTGGCCACGTCGCGAATCGAAAGGTTCGGATTGCGCTTGAAATCCCTCCCCTTCCTTGCGTTCACGGGATCGGTTGTCTTCGCTTTTGTTCCGCTGGCCACAACCACTCCCATAATTTTCTATCGAAGCACTTCTTGCTTGGAAGCCATCTCACTTGTCACTAACCACTTGGTAGATTGTGAGATTTTGCACATGTAAACATTACAGTTTAAACTAGCTTTTCATCATTTTTTACAAAAGCAATAAAAAGTTATACACCAAAGAAAGAGTTGCATTTTTTTTTCGAGTACAATCTTTACTAGTACATATCTCAGGATGGTAATAGTTGATGAGGTCGTATTTCCAAAAACGGGTAGTCACTGTACATGAATTTTGTTTTTGAAAATTACTGGAAATTACTGGAAAATAAGGGAGTATCAGGGAATTTGGGTTTCTTTATTGAGTCGACACCTTAACCATGAACCTAGGACCAGATTACAGGGTGTACAATCGATTTAAGATTATAAATTCCCGGTTGTCTAACCAGCTTAATATGATAAAAACATCCCAAGTAACATTACAAGTGTTATAGAGGTTTTACAAGAGTAAGGTTAAAAGAGCATGATAAAACTAAATCTGTTGCTAGGGAATATAGATTACTACTAACTTTTGACCCTTAGGTATACGGTTTGTAGTTGTGGAATCAAAATACGTTGTTTTCAAGGGAATTAATAAGAGAATTGTTTTAGGAAAAACCTAAAAGAATCGTTGAAAAATCTCAATGCAATGTAGAATAGGAGAAACCCAAATGAATTATGAAAAGAATATAAAATGAGTTTTGAGATGATGCTTGGGGAAGCAGAATTTTCTGGAAAAAATCCTGACGAGAATTCCACGTTGATTCTGTTTAGATTTCTAAACTGAACTCCAAATATTATGCCCTTTGCAGATCTATATTCTTGAAAATAGATTAGTGGATTTCGACATGTAAATGAGCAATTCTCGTTGATACAGGTCATTTTTGTTCGAGGTTTTTAAAAACCAATTCTTTCGATAGTTCTCGATATAAACATAGAAAAATCATTCTACAGTACATTGAATCGATGGATTCCTCGTTAACTAGGGGCTTGAACAGATTAAGAAAAAGGTATTGTTTGCATACTCGTGGATTATTTAAATCAATATAGGGGAAATGGATGTAATGCCCCTAATTTGGGTCCATATATAAATTCAGCAATCGACTAAATTTTCAATAGCGACCAAAAATATCCAGAAGTACCAACCCAATGACGCGTTCATTTGGATAAAATTAATAAATAGCAGATTTTTAGCGATGGGCCCAATCTTAGATCCACAGGCCACAAGCCAACATGTTAATTCATATATGGGCCCAAATTAGGGGCATTTAGGCCGACATTACATCCATTTCCCTATATCAAATTATGATGTCTCAGCTTTCAAATAGCGTGCTTATTTTTGTAAATTGGTAGGAGGTAAGTTGAATCAAAATTAATTTCTTAGAAAAAAAAACCATATTGCGGCTAATTTCAACATGTCTGTCAAAAGCTCTAAAAATGCCAAATGAAAGCCGTGACGATTTCTTTTCAAATCGTATGCAAACATAAAGGTTCTTTTCCAAGAATTTTTAGAGATCTATTAATTTAAATGATCTAATATTTAAGAACCTCGAAAACTAGTCGTGTAGTTTCAGCGAGAAATATTCAAATATAAAGCAAATCCGGAGACAAAAATTCATGATTGATGATTTGGTAAATCTTTCAAAACTAAGAGACTTTGGACAGTATTTAAGATTTCAAAATTACAAAATAACATAATTTGAGATCCCGGTCTAGAAAAAGTCTTCAAAAGGGTAAGTCCAACGCCTACGACATGATTCGAACCCTATTATAAGTCTGATCAGTAAACCCACCTCAGGACTTTGGAAGTGTTTATGACTCCGAAGTAAGTTGGGATTTTCTTTAATAATTTTTATATCCGGACGGAAAATGAACTTGTTAATTGCTTCACATATAGTACAATGCTAATTAGTACTTGTAAGTTACAAGAAGAAGTCATGAAATATATGTTTGACACATAAAATCTGTCAATATTGCTTTCAGTACGTTACAATCAGCGATTTTACGACTCGCGAGTGCTCACCCTGAGTGAACGCTCACGGATCATAAGATCGCTGATTGTGACGTTCTCAAAGCGAAATTGACATATTTTATGAGTCAAACACATACTTTACATCCTCTTCTTGTTACTTACAAGTACAACATAGCATTGTAACATCTAATGATTTCATAATTCCGAAAATCATTATTTTATAGCAAGTGAGTGGAAGCAACCCTGTGCCTAACCGAAGTCGATTTGGTTCTAGCTAGTTTTCTATCTCACAAGTAGGACTCAGATTGGTATTTTTCGCTGCCGCTGCCGCTGCCGTTCCGCTTCCGCTGACATTGCGCTTAGACCTTTAGGTGTGTCTAAAACGCTGTGCAGACTGGAGAGTTATAACATGTTATAACGGTTGTCAACTAATTGCAACACAGAAACCACCATCAAGATAGCGCTATAACATGTTATAACTCTGTAGTCTGAACAAGGCATAACTGTTGTTTATGTCGTTGTTTTCATGGCTATAAAATTGAAGATTTGTCAGATTTTGCATCAACGTACTGCCCATAATCCCATCAGTCCCATATGGATAGGAAATCAAGCAAAGATGGGACTGATATGCGATTATGGGTAGCGTAGTAGGCGTATGCATCAATTCAATATTTCAAAAATCATAATGCCTGGTATGCCTGGAAAAGTATTTTTTGAGGAATATTCCCAAAAGTAAATTTGACAGCTATAGGGAGGTGTCTTTTACTAAATTTTGAAATCATAGGGGGGTCTAATTTTAAAATCATCAATTATCAGTTTTTATGTTGTTAAAATGCATCCAAAACATAATTTTTTCGACAAACGTTAAAATTTCCTAACGGAATAATTGATCAACCCATTATTCCGTAAGGAAAGTGAAATTGCATTCAGAATGCGCCACCTATCATGTCGATCACGATACTTATGTAATCGATCTTTCCTTTACCGATTTTTTTTAACTGCCTACTGGGTCAAGAAATGCTAAGGAAAAGTAATTTATTTAGTATTCCGTGTCCTATCCCGTAGCCTGCGTTGCCAGATCATTTTCAGAAAAATCTGGACCAGGTAAAATGTAAAATCTGGAAAAATCTGGAATGCTCCAAAAATCCTCTTTTTAACATAATGCTATTGAAATCAAAGTGGTGAGCCATTCTCCCGTAAAAATAGGTCAGTATGATCATCTGGAATTTATTTAAAGTACTAGAATTAGGGGCTGTTCACAAACTACGTAGACAGTTTTTTTTTGGATTCTTG